AATGAAAACTAGCGTATCAGAAAATACGATTATAAAGGTAAGTGGCACGATTTGCACGACAGTACATGTCTACATGATACAAAACATGACCCGGAAAAGCTCCAAATGAAAACTTTAGTTAAATTTAGACTCAGTATAATGCTTATGATCAAATAAAATGAAAAAATAAAAATAGGAGATGATGAAACACGAATACGACACAATAACACGATACGTCTCTAATATTATAAATTTTTATATACGAGATAAACATGTGGCGAGGTTGCCATGCCCTGGCCCATGGCGTCTATGGGTGGGTTCGACCCATGGGTCGGGGGCAAATTTGTTATTCTAATTTATTGTGGAAATGTATGAAGGAGAAAAAACTGTGGCAGTCAATTAGGGTGAACAACAAATTTGGTTCGAAATTCTGTTTTTGGCGTTGATTTCTAACTAGTTTGGCTTCTAATTTCTTGAACTCTTAAATTCTATTTGTCCAATATGGACCAAAAGAGCTGCCGTGTTTTCATGAATCCATATTGAATAACTTGTTCCGAGCAATTATTCCCATCGTATTATGGTAGTGTTCTTGAAAAATATTGGCAACAAGTTGTCCACATAAAAAAGCTAATCAAATACAAATTGAAACACACAATCCAGAAATCCTTTGTTGAATCTTTCGTTGGCATGAAACCCACACCAATATAGACTCTACTATATTATACAGAAATAATCGTAATTAGGTTGCCACTAATATTATAACATATACATTGACATATTGCACAAGTTTTCTCATCCCCTACTCTATATTGATATAGATCACCCAATTAGAAATAAAGGACCAATAGACAATATAGCTTAATTTAATATGCAAAATACTAATTAGGTGGTGCTTGTGATATAAATTTTGATTAAACAAAACTAATCACAACTTAAATTTAACTTAGCACAACCATCATCGATATTATTAATATAATTAAATAATATTAATCAATCATCTTAACAAATCACATTAATTGTAATTCACTATTCATCTACTCTCACAATTTTAACTAACTATCACTTCCAATCACCTCTCTCTACACTTTAATATTTTATTGTAAATATTATTTTAATACAAATTCAAAATCTCATTCAAAACTTAAACAAACCAACCGTTTTCTAAATTAACTCTGGTTAACAAAAAAATCAATCAAAACTCGACTTGATTTATATCAAAGCACACCCTAAGAGGGCAATTGGCTAGAGATTAAAATCGATTTTGACTGACTAGATCACTTTTTTACACTCTTGTTCATATCTGACTTGTCGAACATATTTTTCTTTGATACACTTGTTCATAATATGAAGATTGAACAGTGAACTCGACCGAACAGTAGGTGAATTTCCAAACCGACCCCACATGCTGTGAAAGATCGGTCGAACCTGAACAACAAGTATGGAACAGAGTATAAGCAAGTTAAATGAGAAGATGTCGAACACACCTGAAAAATCGAACTCAAATCCTTTGGATTATACACCACTTTCAGTGATAATGAATGAGATGTTTATGCAGCCATTTGTCGACACACGTGTCGCCCATTCAAGTCATCTGATTCTCGCTGCTGTTATTTAGAGCATGTTTCTATACAAGAAGTCTAAAAAAAAATTTCAACATTTTAACTCAATTATTTTTTTTAGCTCAACTTTAACTCAACCTCACTATCATCAATATTATCAATATAATTAAATAATATCAATCAATCATTCATACACACCACATCAACCTTAATTCACTATTCATCTACTCACAATATTTTAACTAACCATCACATCATATTTTTAATTATTTTATTTTAAATATTATTTTAATATACCCACTAACAATTAGCCATACTACATTTTTCAAAACTAACCAAACCTAACCAAAAAATCCAACAAAACCAAAAATTTTCATATCCAAACATGCTCTAAGCAATGCTATTGTACTTACTAGAAATAGTATAAAGCTTACACTACAAGTTGTACTACACTAAAAGAATAGTATCTAATTGTACTGCACTATAAATAGGGTCGAAATTTTTATTGAAAAAAAAAATTAAGATATACTTGATGAATATTATCTCTAAGAAGTAAGAAGAATAATAGAAAATGACCGAACAGAACAATTCGACACTCACAAATATTATTCATCTTCGTTCGCTTGATATATAGTTATTTCTCGCTACATCAACTTTTGGTGGGCAACAATTTGGTGCTAGAGGAATGATCCATCTGTTGTTTGGTGTAACTCGCCGAAAAGTAGTTGCATTTTCTGTCGAAAAATGTCTTCAAGCAGCCGTAATACCCGGATGGACTCACTTGAGTGTGAACAGAGCCTTGGAGTGGCCAAAATATAGATATTGCCATATTGTTTCAAAACCCAAAATTTGGGAAAGGATTTTCCAGTCTTTTGGCCCAAACTTTAAGTTCACCCTCGTCACTAAGTCGGCACCATCGACGCCACACCCTTCGGCATTCCATCAATCGATCCGATCTCTTATCTATCATCAACGATACTCTTTGCCTGAAAAGATAAAAGTGCCATAGAGAGGGTTGTAAGATGGGAATTTTAGACCCTTATGCCCATCTCGGGCAGCTTCCGAACCGCCTGCAATGAGGAGAGGGAAGTGAGACTCTAAAAACGAAGCGAAGTATATTTCTGTTGGATGGACCTGCATGGGACAAGAGATGCCCTCAAGTGTCATATGTTCTCGTTGACTTTGGGTCGCAAAACAGAAAGGTGGTATCACTCGCCTTATCCAACTCCGTCCACAGCCGGGGATAGTATCGGCCTTTTGATTTCACATCATTCGGTCCCAAGTCTACATGATACCTAATGAATCTATCACCAACATTGTCCAAGGATTTGGGGAGATTTTTAAAGATTACATTGCTCGATTTAACGAAGGCGCTCAAAACATGGACTTGTGCCACCAGGAGACTTTGTTGGTGTCCGCTTATTTCGGGTTGAAGCCGAACTCGATGTCCCGCTGGTCTTTATGCCAGGATAAACCCCAAACATACTAGGAGTTCTTAGCACGGGCGCAACAACATGTGATAGCCAATGAATCAATGTCCATCCCGTCCTTTGATTTCCTAACACAACCGCCACAAAGGGGAAAGATCCAAAGACGGACTGAGGCCCCACAAAGGACGCCTGAACGGCCCAAGTCCGAGCACTGCATAAACAGCAACAGAACTGAAAAACAAAGGCATCATTCCAAACCCCAGGTTGGTCACAAATAATGAAGATCAACTTGACAAGTCCCACTATTGCGCCTATCACAAGTCGTATGGACACAATACTGGTCAATGTCTCAACCTCATATCAGAACTGCTAAAACTCATCGGAGGTCCGCAGGTCCAAAAATTCACACGAAACTGGGAAGAAAGGAAGAGGGGCCGAACAGACTATACCCCGGACATTGATAACGATAGGGACGTGAAAGTTAACCTAAAAAGAGCTAGAGACCCACCAAGGGAGATCGTGACATAAAAACGCCTAAAAACATGGGGTCATGTACAAAGGAACACCTATACTATGGGACAAAGCCATAATGACACTGGGTCCAACCGTGAGGAAGGAAAGCCTAGAGAAACCCCGCCACCAAGGCCTAGCCGATCCAACATTTGCACCAAAGTGACGATCCATTCCTTCTTTGTGCCCGAGTAAAAATGTCAATCGTTACATGTTCATTCCAAGCAAAGAATTACCATTTATGAAATTTGTGGGACCAAATTTGTAATACACTCAATTATTTGAGAGAGAATTTGCAATTTTCTCTTTTAATTAACCTAGCAATGTCATTTTCATAATTTACTTTCCAAACTTATTTTTTCAAATTAAAAGATTTTATCATTATAACAAAATAAATATTTCAAGAATTATTACGCAAATAATTCGTGACATTATGCCCCATAGAACCCCTTTCAACAGTTTGACACAACATGAGGAGCTCAATCTGACTATCCAAAAAACTATGCTCCATCATTAAAAAGACTTCAAACTTTGTCCAAAAGCCCTTCCCTTTCAACACCACTATTAAAACCCAACATTTTGGTCTCTCCTTTTTTCCCCATCTTCTTTTTCCCTTTTGCCCTCATAAAATCAACACACACCATCACAAAATCCCCGAAAAATAAAAAAATGGAACTATTCGGATTGTCCAGCAGCATCATCACTCCGTACATTCCGCCGGCAATTGCCACGCTGGCCGTCCTCCTCGTCCTTCTCGAACAAATCACTTACCTCCGCAAAAAACGGTTCCTCCCCGGCCCCGCCCTCGTCCTCCCCTTCCTCGGCGGCGCCCTCTCCATGGTCCGCGACCCGACCCGCTTCTGGTCCCGCCAGTCCTCCTACGCCGCCTCCTCCCCCCTCGGCATCTCCGCAAACTACCTCGCCGGACGATTCATCGTCTACCTCCGATCCCCCGACGCTTCCCACCTCGTATTTTCCAACGTCCGCCCCGACGCCTTCCACCTCGTCGGCCACCCCTTCGGCCGCCGCCTCTTCGGCGACCACAACCTCATTTACATGTTCGGCGCCGCCCACAAGGATCTCCGCCGCCGCATCGCCCCAAACTTCAACCCACGCGCCCTCCGCTCCTACGCCGCCGCCCAGCACAGCGTCATCCTCCGCCACCTCGCCGCCTGGTGCGGCGCCAGCGACGCCGCCGTCCCCCTCCGCATCCCCTGCCGAGAGATGAACCTCGAGGCGTCGCAGACGGTTTTCGTCGGGCCCTACCTCGACGCCGCCGCCCGACGCCGGTTCAACGAGGACTACAACCGGTTCAACGCCGGACTCATGAGCCTCCCCGTCGACCTCCCAGGTTTCGCCTTCCGGGAGGCCCGACTGGCGGTCGGCCGGCTGGTCGACACGCTGGCCGGCTGCGCCGAGGAGAGCCTCCGGCGCATGCGCGCCGGAGGTGAGCCGGCCTGCCTCGTCGACTTCTGGATGCAGGAGAATCTCCGGGAAGAGGCCTCCGGCGACGCCTCCGGCGGCGCCTCCGCCGCCAGCTGTCGGGAGATCGGCTCCCACCTGTTTGACTTCCTGTTCGCTTCCCAGGACGCGTCCACGTCTTCCCTCCTGTGGGCGGTGGTGTACCTGGACGCCCACCGGGACGTCCTGGCTCGGGTGAGGGAGGAGGTCGACGCCGTGTGGGGCCCACGCGGCGGCGCAGCCGCCGCCTCCGCCGCCGTCTCGGTGGGGGAGCTGAGGTACACGGAGGCGGTGGCGCGTGAGGTGGTGAGGATCAGGGCGCCGGCGACGATGGTGCCCCACGTTGCCGGGGAGGATTTCCGGCTGGCCGGGGACTACGTGGTGCCGAGGGGGACGATTGTATTCCCGTCGGTTTACGACGCGTGCCTGCAGGGGTTCGAGGAGCCGGAGCGGTTCGACCCGGGGCGGTTCATGGAAGAGGAGCGGATGAACCGGAAAAATTACCTGGCGTTCGGAGCCGGAGCACACCAGTGCGTGGGGCAAAGGTACGCGATAAACCAGCTGGTACTGTTCGTGGCATTATTCGCGAGCCTGGTCGAGTTCCGGCGGGACCGGACAGAAGGGTGCGACGAGATCGCGTATGTGCCGACGATCGTGCCCAAGGACGATTGCCGGGTATTCATCTCGCCGAGAGGCGGCGCTTTTCCGTCGCTGTCGTGACGGAAATGCCCTTTTGTTTGTTATTTTCGCAAGGAAAAAGCGGTCAGTCAGTCAAACTCGTTCGTGTCCGTGAAGTGTAATTGATTTTTTCTTTTTTAAATGGAAAAAAAAAGTCAGTGAAAATATATAATTTGTTTATTTGTTGGAAATAAAATGGATTTGGTGCCGTGTGACAAATATTTGGTTGTTGTAAATTGTAATTTGATTTTTTTTTAAACGGTATTTTTTTCTGAGCTTTCGTTTTGGCTATCATTTCATTATTCAAAGGAATTTGGGATAGACAATTAGCAATGGCTTTCGCTTTGGATTGGGATAGATTATTATTGATGTTGTGGATTAATTTATTTATTCGCAATTATTTTGTTTGTCCACCACATATTTTTTTTTTTTATTTATGTTAGGTATAATTGGTTACTAAAGAGAGGTGTTGATCTGCCATTTTGTCTTGACATTTGCCTTTGCTGGGTCTTTTTGGTCTGGTGACCTTCCGCCTTGGTGATTAAAACGTGAAATGCTTTTTGTCTGACAATGAGAAAGTGGATAAGAAATAATATGTAAATGGAACTAGACAACTAGGAAATAATTTAAATCGAACTTTTGACAGATGTTTGGTTAACATAGTAAATCTTCTTATATTTATAAATAAATTTAATTTGATATGATGGCTTTGTATTTGTGCAAAAGTTGGAGGTTATTTCATAAGTTTCTACCTATAACTTTTTAAAAGATTCAATTTTTTATTTCAACCAACTTATCAAATTATTTTACCAAATATTTTTCTTATAAATGTTTTCCAGCCATCAATTATAGCATGTGCATACGTGTCAGGTTAGTATCATAAGGTGACAAATAGGGATTGCTTTAATATGTATTATTTTTTGAAAAAAATAAAATAAAATTGTCTCATAAAATTCTTTAGGTAACTTCTTATAAAGTTGATACGTGCTTGTAAGCTATCAATTCACTTATCATCAAGCTAAATATACCAAATTTAACTTCTTAAATACCAGTTAGTTCTTTAGTTGTTTATTTAACGGATCGTTAAATCTGATCTCGTGTAAGTTAATTTTTTGAACTAATATTTTGGTAGTTCAATGTTTTATTTACTTAGATTACGTGAAGAGACTACTTTCATATTTTTCTATTATATAGTTTGGAATTTTTTTTCAAAAATTGGTGCATCTTGCTAGTACGGTTGTTGGTCGGTCCTGGTCCATTTCTTTGTTATAATTTAATTAAGATTCCATTTCAAATTATATTTGTCCCCATAATCATTTTGTTTAAAGAAATACTGAGTTCGTTAGTTACAAATGGATAAAAAGTGTATTAAATCCAGCTCATAACTACTGGAAATTGTCCAATCCAAATCGATCACTCCAATAAGTAGTAGTTATTATTTTTAATTTATTTTATTTTTTTAATTTATTTTTGAATAGTTGAGTATTGTGCTTATAATCAATGCATTGCATGTTCTCAATATTGTTTCATGCTGGTATAAATGAGGAAGTTGGAGTATTAGATTTATTGGAATTAAATGAAATAATAGATATAATATTGAGAAAGTTCTTCCTGTCCGATTTGACATTCTTTGTTAATTTATCGAAATTCTTAGAAAGAAGAAGCATATATTATTTTTAATAAGTTTAACCAATTTTTAGTAACCAACATCAACTAAACGATGAGAATAAGCACCCGAATCACGAAAGTTCAGCTCAAATTACAATAACAAATATATGTTCGCGTTGAACACAAATCCGCTTTTATTTCATTTGAAGGTGTTGATTTTGTGCATAAATTAAACAGGACACAATTTTATAGGCTTTTTATTTAGTTTTACAAGTTGAAATTCCTTCAAAATTTACCTAATGAATATTCTTANTGGAATGAATATTGAAAATAATAACAATATAAAAATAACAAATAAAATACTCTAACTGATAGGACCAACAAATCAAAACTCAGTTCTCCATCAAACTCAACATACGAACTCAAATGGAGTTTCATTCTAAAACCAATTGGCAACAGAAGGAGTAGCCCACCAAGCTTATATATTGGACTTGGAACCTTTAATTTTTTTATGTGGGATTGGGTTTGCACACCCTACACTAACAATACATTATTTGTTTGTTTATAAACGCCACATATATGTCATTTCGTATTTTTCACTTACAATATATGATTATTTGTTTAATATTGGATCACAATATTGTAATTGTTTCCTTTTTCACTTACAGCCATTAATCTTAAAATTTGTATATTTTTTCCTACATTAATAATAATGAATTTCGTATTTAAAATGCACATATTCGAGCACATTATTTATTTAATTGCAAATGATGGTGTTTGATATGTAAATTTTTTATTGATCGAGTTTAAATCCGCACCACCACGAACGGTCCTTCGTCTTGAACCCGTGACCTGCAAAACACGCTTGAGAAAGAGTCTCGGCGAAAAACTTCTGATATTCAAGTAAGGTTTAGCTCGCTAGTATGCTAAAAGCCATAAAGATGTGTTATGTACAATAAAACCTAGTAATCCCCTTTTATATAAAGGTTATCTTTTTGCTCAAGTAGACTCTTTACTATGAAAGATATATACGTATCTCATTTTAGACTTTTTAACGATATACACTTATCATTCTTACCAAGATTCTGCTCCCTCTCATGGCACGACTCTTAGGTTGTCCCTACGACCTCGTGATCCATCCAACGCAGGCACTTACTAGGTTGAAATTACGACGTCCTTCACATGTACAACATCAAGGTCTTACTGACCAGATGGTGACACGGGCAGAATGGTCGTGTCGCATGCGCAAACTGTTTTTTATTTCTTACCTATTTTGATAAGGAGAAGACTTTCAGATGGTATAAAAGGCATAATTACCCTATTTTGAGGGGGAGAACGTGGTGATACACAAAAGAGGAGGTTCTAGAACACACAAGAGAAGTAATTGGGAAGCAAAGAAGATCCAACTACGAAAAAATCAAGGAGATTGAAGATCGACGAGATTCTTAGCTTTTCTTTCTTCTTTCTTTTGAAAGTTTATTTCTCATGTCGATTTCCAGTATGTTTATGTATTTGATTTTGAACATGAGTGGCTAGATTATTTTATTCTAGGACTTGGTAATAGATTAATATGTTATGATTTCAGATGACTTATTTATAATTAATTGTTTTTCAACCCTATTCAAATATTTTGTTCTTATCATGTTTAGCACTTGCTCAATTCTTTTACATGTTCGACAATATTTTTCATAACTCGAGAGATGGGTTCAATATTGGGTCTTTAATATTTGACACAATTTACTTGTTTGAATCGAGAGATTAGTAGATCGTTGTGATGATATTAGATCTTTAATTTGTTCTATTTAAAGTTGAATTGCATGTGTTGAGTGAAGACGCTAATATATGTGATTTAATCTACGATTTTATCGAGATGGACGATAAGCTAAATTTGTGATCATCTTATTGGGTAGATAAATTGAAACATTTAGTTGTAATATTTTTTAAGGAACTCAACTGTTAATTGAAACCACAGTGTTAGAATTTATCATTCTCATATATTTGTGTCTTACGTGTTCTTTAGCTAGTTCGTTGTTCTTGATTTATTCTTTTTTGATTATATTTTCTTAGTTTAGTTAATTAATCCATCTCATAATTGGTCGTCTAAATAAAGTTGACACTATCATAATCTAGTGATTGATACATTAATAATTTGGTCTCTTGAGACACGACCTTGCTTGTCACATACTACGAGCAAAGCCGCACACTTGCGGTCGAGCTTTAAAAATTTAGGCGAACAATATATTTAATTATATTGAGGATATAGTGCAATTGAATTAAAATGTGTTAAATTTTGAGTATGAATTGAATATGAATTTAATTATTTTATATACAAACACAACCTTAATTTTTTAATATTATTCATATTTGATTTAATATTACAATCATTAATTGACATATGTTCAAAATCATAGTCTTACAAATGCTCTTAGTCAAGTTAACAGAATACTACCGTGGAAGAAATTGATGGATTTTGCTTATATGAAAGAACTCAATTAATGCTGACCTAAAACAAAATTGGGCGTCATCACATAAAAATCTACAATGCGGGAGAACCTACATTAGTGCATGTTTGCCACATGTAGCTTAAATTAACTTTAATTTTCTGCATTTTAGAGTACATATGTACATGTACAGGTTTACAGCTAACATGCATCTTCAACTCCCAATGTCATTTATTACTATAGCTACCTCTAATGTACAATAGATAAATAAATAGGACTTTAACCGGTTTTAGGCCTAACAAAAGGAACACTTTAGAAGCATGTATACTAAAATTTGTAGATTAAGCCCAAATGGTAATAATATGTTTTGCAGGCAGTCTCAAACTCGAATTTCTGTCATTGTTTAATAATTGAAATTTTATAATTTTTCTGAACAATATATCACATTTAATCATGAAAGTAAGGATTTTTATAAGGTAATTTTTTATTTTTTTTTAGCAAATTGGTTTGGTAATTTTGGGTTAGACTAACTTTAGTAATAGTAGCTGAAAAACCCAAATTTATATATGAAATATTTCAGCAATCGGACAGAATATGGAATTTCAATATTTTTTGGTAAAGGTGGTTGACTTTTAGTTAATTTATTCAATTGATTTTACATAGATCAGTTTGTACCAATGGGCGGTCAAGTCAAAATTTCAGCTCTTGGCAGTTCAATTTTCGAAGAATCCCAGACTTGCTAATTTCTATTGGGTAAGTTGGATTTAGTTGGATTCATTATAAAACCCAGTCAAAGTTTAGGAATATTATTCTGGATTTTTAAGTGGAAAAGTACAGAAAACAAATACACCACATTTTAAAAGAGAGAGAGGGAGAGATGTGTACAAAAAATGAAGAATAACGTTAACGAGCTTTAAAATGTGAGAAAAATGTTGGACGGAGAAACTGGAGAAGAAAAACGAAAAAGACAACTGAAAGATATGTACAAAAAATGGAGAAAAACTAAAAAGAGATGTACAATCCAAATTATAGATTTGGAGCACCTCCCAAAATGACAGACACTATGTAAACCATAATTTAAAACAATTTGCTAAACTATAGATTGACGGGTTGGGTTTGAATGCAATAATGTTATAGGTTTGATTAATTCCCATATCAATTATTGGTTTATCCTTAAAATTTAATATACTTCGTTAAGTTGGGTTTTT